TTTCTAGAATATATAAAACTCACTCATAATATAATACTGTTGTGTATAAAAGGTTTCAATTATTAAAAATTTAGTGAATATCAGGCAAATCGTTACGTGAATGCCATACAATATGAGATGATTTTTTTTGTGGGCACCACAGAAAAAACTTTCATCTTTTTAAGTGGAAATTCCTATTTCACTGCAACACCTCTACAAATGTTTGCCAAAATAATATTTAGTGTTTCTCATCACTAAGGCTTCGAAATTTCGGGAATTCCCGAAAAAAATAGTTAACAAAATCATCGGGAATTGCATACCATTAGCTTTAGGGGTCATAATAGGCCTAATATATATAAGTTTTATTTTCCCGATTTTTCCCGATTTTGGCACTTTTTGAGAAAATTCCCGATTTTGGTATATTATTAGGAAAACTCCCGAAAATCGTCTATTTTATTACAAATGGCCCAAAAATTTACTGTTTTTAAGATAAAATCTTTAGAAATATGGATTGTCTATTAAAATTTTAATGAATTTCTTGAAAGAATACCAAAACTTGCTAAAAGTTCACATAATTTGTGATAAATATATTGTATATTATAGTAAAATACATGTGAATATGATGTTCACTTACAATATAAGTGGCATATTTATTTGATTCAATATTTTTGCCTCAATAAATGTCATTATTTTGCTTTATTAGTGCACATAAACCTTTTGAAAATCACTTAAGTACATAATTATTATGTGAAAATCCAATAAAAACGTAATTCCCGAATTTTCCCGATTTTGCCATGTATACTCCCGAATTCATATGTTTTTATTCCCGAAAAATCGAAGCTTTAATCATATCATATGTATATTTATTTATATGAAATTTTCATTTCTCTCACTTTTGTAATAATTCATAATTTGATGAATACTTTGAATATTGGCCTAAAATACAGTATAGCTCTTAAACCAGTCGTTACCTAATTCTCAGGGATTCTCTGGCTTTACGCTATCAAATGCATATCAAAACACAAAAAATCACTTTTGCTTAACACACAAAAAATATCATAATATTTAATCAGATGTTTTAATGGAAAAAATAAATTATCATGATTTTTAAATTTGCATTTCCAGGCACAATGCCTACAATGGCTAACTTGATGTTATCAACGCGTAGACCAATAGGTATTATGGGTTAATCACATCACACACTATACCGTATTATATCATACATTATTTTAATGAACTATTTATACAGTCGTAAGTTATAACAAATTATATTAACAAAACATTTATTCAATTTATTCACTCTTCACAACAACTTTCGGTTTTTGTGCTCTTTTTTCTCATTTTATTTCCCTTTCATTTGATTTTTTTGAATTCATTAAACTTTCACGAAATTCATGCCTTCTTTTTCTTAATTATCAATAATATTAATCATCAAAATTTTATTTATATTTTTTGGTCATTTCTCTCTTAAATCGGTTTCAATTTTTAAGGAAAAGAAATATTTTCTTTACAAAACAGTTCTTCTCGTGATTTAAATATAAAATGACTAAAGAATTGGGTTTACAATCAAAATATAGGGAAAATGAGAGGAATTCCTCTCATATGTTCATTGAATCATAATTTAAAATCATTTAAACGGAAAGTTATAATTTGTTTGTGAATATTGTTAGGCATTGATTGCGGAAAACGTTTTTTTAAAGAAACTATTTCTTACAAATTATTTATTAGTTTATACTGTATTTACAATTCATTTAAAAGAGAAAGAAAAAGTCCGTAAAAATCAAATGTATTGCAAATTTATCTTTACGTCCAATCTTACAGATGTGGCACTACTTTAATGTCTTTGCAATAATAATATGTCATAAAATTGTTCATTATATCCAAATTCAACGATCCTTTCAATAGAAAATAGACGACAAAAATATAAAATAAAGCAAAATTAGCGAATAATTTCACACTTTTATGGTTTGATTTCATAATCAAAGAACATGGTATAAAGTATTGCCAAACGATTATATAAATCGATTCCTCTCATAGAGAATGAAAACGTAATGAAATTTAAATGAATTTTATAAAAATGGAAATGTTTTTGTAGGTTATGATTATGATTATGATTATTATTATGGTTACAATCCTTCGCTAAATTGTTTTGAATTTTTACTTCTTTTTCTTTCTTTCACTTCAATTAAATGATGAGAGAAGTGAAAGAAAGGACACAAATTGGGCACATCTTTGCTGTACACACACCACACATACAGTTATGCAGTAATTATATATTGTTTTGCGTTGGGCTATAAACCCCTACTACAGACACCCCACTTAAATAGTTTAGTAAACATCACATTTGAATACAGTTGACACCTCTTATTAAAACATACAATGACTCGACATCTAAGATGTACTGACAATGAATTATTAAGTATCAAAACATAACTTCAATTTGTTTCATATGATTGAAATTATTAATGAATACCATATTTATAAACGAGATATGAATTGAAAATATTCCCATTATTTCAATACAATTCTCATTGTATTCATTAAATTAGTTACAACTCCTGTTTAAGAAGTCCTTTATTTCAATTTTATACATGAAATCAAATACTTTAAGGAATTCAATGTTACGCCAAAAAGAAATTGTTAGAAATAAAAGTCACATAATTATGCTAAACAAGTCTTGTATTTTATTTTTAACTTTTATCCAATCATGTTATCTAACGAATCGATTTCTTATATTGATTCCTGTCTCCTGTTTATCAACTTTTTTATTCACACTTTGCATCAAATATTGATATAATCTGTATATTTCCACACATTTCACACTCATATCGAAATATAACAATTAAATTGAAATACAAGATTTGTGTCAATGTATTGCATTAATAGTAGCAACGAATATATAAATGTATATTAAAATGTGAGCATTGATTTCAGTTAATCATCCGTTTTACGAAGATATGGTGATTAGGGATCGGACGTATGCCATATACCAATTATACAGGTAATCCACTCAACCATACGTTTTGCTCTCACAGTCAAAATCACTGGAAAGAGAAATATGATATTTTTAAACAGTGTTCACACAATCAGTTTTAAAATATATAAATGCATTATATTTATTAAATTTGATGAATTTATGATTTTGTTGTTTTGCAGTTCACATGAACTGAGTTCAGTTCATAGGCATCTCTCGTCACTTTCAATCGATTACATTGTTTTAGAAGCAAATTATTGTTACTCTCGGAGCGGAAAATGTCGTCTCAATGACATCTGGAAAGTTGAAGACTTCCGACGATTGGGTCGAAACCATTACAGACAACAAGAGTCTCAACAGTCGGAGACATTAATATGCGATCGACTCTTTGCTCATCCGAAACCATTTTTTAGACGTGTTTTTGCCAATAATTACTTTCATGTCTTGCTATTAATTAAGCACTAATAATGACATTGAAATGCAAAGTCAATGACCCGACAGAGTCTAACGGAATCGAGAAAATTAAAGCCTAAAGTTTGGATAGAAAACAATCACATCTAAATGTAATGGCATTTTTGGGTCAACACTTACAGCCCATACATTACTTTTACCAATAAAACAAAGTTTTATTAATTGCATTGTTCTATCATTTCTCAAACAAACAACAATTCACTGAAGTTATGCTCAAATTTATGATTGCATTCTATGCTTAATATACAGTAATATACAGTAAACATAGCATGTGTTTGACTCTATTTTCGCTTATTTTAAAATTAGATCCTTTTTTATAGCAAACATTAATACAATTCATTTATAATACTTTTAGTCTATAATCATAATTATAATAATCAGTTCAAAGCAAAAAATTAAACATATTTTTCAATCCAATAATTCAAACCTAAATATAATAATATATATTTTTAAATATTTCTTTCCCAGAGCTCTAAATGTGAGAAACGATTTGCAAATTCTGTGCGCAAAGAATTTCATTTGTTTAACATTAACATGAAATGTATTATTAGTTACAATCTATTAATTGATAGAAACAGTTAATGCATTAGATTTGATGACACATAGCTTTAGGTGCAGAAAGTTTAGGTGTTTTGTTAAAACCAGATTTGTTTGTGTCCTAAGCATAGCATAAGTTGTGGTCAATTGTAGCGTTAGTGGAGAGGAATGTCAATCCATGGAAGCGTTCAATGCATGCAATGTTAAGGCTAAGAGACAGAGAGGACGAGGATATCGGTTCTGAGCCACTGGTCATGACGTCAGCAACTCTTTCTCAGAGCTTGTTTTCCGGGTCCTTAAACCTAAACCCAAACCTACAGTACCTGTGCTTCACCTGAAGAGTCAATACGAGCCAAGAGTCAACTGTTTGCTGACTTTCGCACTAACACTGCATAGCATTGCAATCGTACGGCAATTGTGGAGAAATGCTAGAAATCCTGCTTTGAATCTGAGCTCAGGTGTAAACACATAGACAGCCAATGGGACGGTCCGTAAGGCAAGACTTAACATAAGCCCAATTTCTAGTTCCTTCTCGCAGTTGTTTACCAACTTTTGTTCGCCTCTTATGTTCACTACAGAGAGAACACACCACTCGGCCATACAGTCTCTCCACACTCGATGCTAAGGCTCTGCAAAGTCCACACAAAAGTCCCAAAAACTGATGTGAACTTCAATTGTAGAGCACTTCTCAGCACATCTTCGCATACATTTGTGGTTAACAGAGTTTTTGTGTTATTTTTAATGTTTTTTGTTTTACTTTTTTCACTTTACTCTACCATTGATTGCTTTTACATCCAAACTATTGAATGACATTCACTGCTAATAAACTAATTAAGAGTTTGGTTTCGGATTTACTTCTAGTCATTCATTAGTTTTCTCAAAATAATAATATTTTTGTTTTGATGAAAAAATGCGACCAATTTTTACCTGTAATCACCTCTCCTTCAAAATGGATATATTTTATGCGATTTTATTCATATTTATCGTCGAAGACATCAGTTCTGGTGAGTCTTTCTTTTCAGTCATTTCCAACGATTTCAATTAAATACACATTTTTGCGATAAAAAACTTATTATTCAGTAATTCATGCCTTAATAAAATTCGTGACATAAATATTATGTTGAATTATGTAATGATTGTATAAATTATAAGATAAGTTGCCATAATCTGCGAGACTTAGTGCACATCTCTTATCTCATTTTGTCGATCACTTGTTGAGATCTATGTTTTCTTGTTGTTATATCTTGCAGTTAACTCGTGTGGATATCCCGGCTCTCCAGCGCACGCCTCCATCTCATTGACCACAGACTCCATCCGAAACGGAACGATAGCCACATATACTTGTGATAACGGCTACGAACTCTTAGGACCGTCGAGACGGACCTGTATATCATCCAAATGGGAACCGTCGGGAATCCCATTTTGTGGTGAGTCTCTCATCATGTTATACCCTATCAATACCCCAATCTTTGAGCAATCTATGCGCTCATATCTTAACTTTATATGAGTACCGGATATTTGTCAATACAATACAATTGTATATATTGTGACAAACGGTGATAATTATCAAAACATTTGTATACATTGTAAGCGCGGATGACATTGAACTGGATCTGATTGAGCGCAGTGCCTGTCCTGTTATGATATGTCCCCAAACCCCCAGAGCACTAGTACTCTACTCTCCTGTAACCAAATACCTGTGCAAAACATAATGTGTTGTAATATTGTGTCTTAATATTACATTCTTACTAATATAATAACAAAACTGTGCGGAAGTTTGCTTTTACTTTAAAACTTTTTTCTAAAAATAATTGAAAAAATATTACCAATAATACAATAGATTGCATAAAAATAGGTTTAATTTAATGATTTGTGAGATATATTCAAAGCATTGTTTGAAATGATGTGTTGATCACAAGTAAGGAATTAGAGGGCGATTAGGATCGCACTGGTATTGACCCAAAACTTTGCACTGTTTTGCTTCTTAAACTGTTTGATATCATCAGATATATAATGATTAGTTTGTGTGTAGTTTATGGTAATGCATG